ACTCTCTTGGTTCTGCACATAATCAAGACACTCTCTTTTCACTTGCACCTCTTTGATCTTTTCCATTAGCTCATTTTCAACTCTCACAGTCTCCATCTTGAGGAGTGCACCCCCAAACAAAGAGGTCACTGTCAAATCTCTAAACTTCTCAATCACATCGAAGTCACCCATCATCAAACTAGATAGACTTACAGATTTACGATTCAAAGCATCAGCTACCATGTTGGCCTTTCCCGAGTGGTACTTCAACTCAAAGTCGTAGTCCTTCAGAAATTCCATCCATCTTCTTTGTCTCATGTTCAGCTCCTTTTGATCAAATAGGCACTTCAAACTCTTACGATCACTGAACACTGCGAACTTCATACCATACAAGTAATGCCTCCAAATCTTAAAGGCAAAGACAATCGCAGCCAACTCCAAATCATGAGTCGGGTAATTCTCCTCATAAGGCTTCAACTGCCTCGAAGCTTAAGCAATCACTCTGCCAGTCTGCATCAACACACAACCCAACCCCTTCCAGAGGCATCACAATACAGCTCAATCTGCTCAACAGGATCAGGAAGGACCAACACTGGTGCAGTGGTCAGTCTCTCTTTCAACTCCTGAAAGCATTCCTCACACTCGTGAGTCCACACAAAAGGAGTCTCCTTCCGGGTAAGGCGAGTCAATGGTAAAACCATCTTGGAGAATCCCTCAATGAACCTCCTATAGTAACCTGCTAAACCCAAGAAGCTCCTTACTTCTGTAACGATTTTGGGTCTCTCCCAATCCAACACTGCCTCAATCTTGTTCGGACTACATGTTGTAGTTCCGTGATTAGATATACATCTATGTATGAGGTTTTTCAGTTAATTCTTTATTGCAATGTACATACAGGAAATATTTTGAAAAGAATTAAGTAATCAACTTGGTTAATAATAATGACGTCATAATTGAAAAGAAAAAGTTAGCTTCCACATTTAATTGAGCTGCGCTTAATACTGTAATATGATAACAATTCGGGTATACACGGGGTGTTACACTATGGAATACGGTGGAGAAGGTGGCAACCACCAGAAAACTCCACGTAGGCACAATAGAAGATGAAGGATCAGCCTAGGGCTTAATGCCACTTAGTATATATAGATGCATTAAGTTTAATCTCACTGTATTAGCACTAATAGCGCCGCTAATCGTTTTAATCTAAAACTTCAGATTCTGAACCTAGCTATTTTTCTAGGATTTATCATATTTTTATAATAATTTTTGCAGCACTTTGCTGGTACGCATTTTTACACTGCCAGTATCAGTCCTGACATCATTTCTCATTATTTCGACTCCAAACTTGACATATCAGTCCTAAATATTATTTTAGGAATATTCATACATTTATTATAATTTTTTGGGATACTTCACCGGTACAAACTTATACCGTGAAGCAGAACTAGTATCTGCACTTTTCGTCAAAAAAGTGACTTTCAACATTATTATGCACTTGCTATAATTATTTACATCCTCACATAATTATTCAAGGTCAATTATGAAATTATTCTTTAATTTTATCATTAAGTTATTTAAATTCCTAATTTAACGGTGCAGATTCTTACAGTTGTTGGATCAAAATTAAATCAATGGTTACAAAATAATATTAAGTAAGAGCGATTGATTTGATTTGGATCCAACAATCATAAAGTGATTGTAAATTTTTTTTTTTAAATATAACCTCTTCACACACACACACACACATATATGGAAAGGATCCGTTTACAAATTTTTGTTACAAATTACACTGACCGACCATGCACCCTTGATTGAAGTATGACCGGTCAAATTTAGTGGAGTTTGTAAACAAAAAGTTTGCAAATATAACCTTCCTTATATATATATATATATATATATATATATATATATATATATGGACATGTTACGTTTATAATTTTTTTTGTTTACAACTCTAACAACTTCAACTATGTACTCCCAGAAGTATAATACTAGAAAGCGTATTTTCAGAAATATATAATTAAGGTTGTAAAAAAAATTATAAATGTAATCTTTCATATATATATATATATATATATATATATATATATAGGGGAAGGATATTGTGACAACCAAGTTGTGTCACTGCCAAGTGACTGCCAATTAATCTCACCGTTGGATCGATTATGTTGATCCAACGGTTATATTTATTTCCATCTTTATATGGTCATAAATATAACCGTTGGATCAACATAATCGATCTAACGGTGAGATTAATTGGTAGCAACATAACTTGGTTGTCACAATATCTTTCCCCATATATATATATATATATATATATATATATATATATATATAAGAGAGAGAAGAATGCATATGACATTGTAATATGACGGTGAATACGCAAAATACTTGCATGCAAGGGGGAAAGGTGTTAAAGAGCCACTTTGGGACTAGCTCAAAGTTGCTGTGACCCACAGTATTCATAACCCATAAGATCAATTGTGACATATTCAATAATGGCAGCACAGAGGCCGTTTTTGTGAAGAGACACTTGTTAATTGGGGTATTCCAAAGAAAAGAAAGTATGATGTGTCGACAAATGGATGGAAGAGAACTTGCAACAAGAAAAATACGGCTTTTAGATTTGGAAAGAAGTGCTGAAAATTAATTTGCTGCCTCATAACTAGGGAACGACAATAATATTACAGTTGGCCGTGCGACAAGTGTTGCTTAGCGAAAGAGTCGTCTCTTGTTTTGCAAAGTTCTTTCAAGCATTGATTAATGATTTTTAACTATATTTGACATTAATTTTTTTTGTGGGTCATGTTCTAGAGAGAGTTTTCCGACTATAGACTTCTAGATTAATTTAGGAAGAGCTACCCGACCTAGGTACGAGGAGAGCTCCGGGAACTACTAAAAAATGTTGAAATTGCAACGAGCATCAGCAAGGGTCTTGACCTTATTGCAAATTAGAGACGGAAATTGTAACCTGCATGCAATTGTGAGGGAATTTTGTCCATTTTTCTGTCGCAATAATATCATCGCAAATCTCATCGCCAACTATAATAAGTGGATCCGACATTAGGTTCTTTGGTCCCTCCACTTATATATATTTCACTTAACTCATTGTCAATCAACACGAGACTCGTGAGTTAAATATCCCAACATGCCGATAATCTCTACCCTTGATTCTTAGATATAATCACTACCTACATAGCTAGACATTACTGTTCGAATTCCCAATATTTTGGCGTCGTCTATGGAAATTTTAAATTTCTAATCCTACTAATCTCTTATTGCTAGCAATGGTCATTTGAACCAGGCTCCAATCAATGTACGATCCCATCCCATGATGGACACGAAGCCTCACTGCGCTCAAATGCCCGGGACCAATTTGGCCGAAGCAAACCCAAATCATCCATTTGCTACTACAACTTTTGGAGGAATAGCAAGCCTTCCGAAAGAACTTTACCTGGAACAGCTACCAACACCGGTGCCGAATCAAACAAGTTTTCAATTTATGAAAAATTTCTTCACAAGCTTCATACCATTGAAATTCTCCTTCTTATTTTCTTTTCTCATATCAAAATAAAGGCTATTGCGTTACGTTGAGATTGAATTATGTAGCACCAAAATAACACGCACATCCTTGTGCTCATACTCCTTTTTTTTTATCCACATGCCCGTACATGAATTTACATACGATGAGAAAAACAGAGTGCGCGTACCTATAATTTTTTTTTTTTTTTGAAATATTGTAATTGGTTTATTGTTTCATGACTAATTCAATTCGTGATGGGTCCGGAATTAAGTCTTTAAACCCCTCTATACCATTTTTTATTTCCTATGCAATTTCAAAACCTAATGGTCTCAGAAAGTGTACGAGATATATAGTACTGATGAATAAACTAACTACTCGCCAGAAAGAAATTAATCGTGATCCGATGAATTTTTCTGATCTATCCCATAAAGCATATATAAAACAAAATTAGATACATAAATAAATGATTCATTTTCCTTGTCTGACCACATATACAAATGTTTGGTGAGGCCAATAAATGATATTAGCATATATAGTTTGATCACGAATTAATTGTAGGATAGACTTTCGGTCACAGTAACATAACTGAAGTCGAATTTATTATGTAACAATGTGGGAAAGTTAAGAGGTTTATTATTAAAAAGCATAACGCAGTGTTGTTAAACCTGACCCGGGCATCGACCCGGTCGGGATACTGGGTCACTGGGTCATTGGTCGGACCGGTGGGTCACTGGTCGGACCGATTGACCCGGATATATATAAACATATAAAAATATATATAAATATCAACATATAAATTCAATTATATTCTCCATATCTAAAATGAATTAAACAAGGTTCACTAAATAAGCTAAAAAAATGAAGCATAAACAAATAAAAGTGCATGTTATTACTATGTCAATTTAAATTGCAACTCAAAATCCTCATAAACATATCTCTCAATGACATTGAACTCATAGTTTTCAAATTCAACTACATTAAAATAACATATGTTACATTCTCTGATTTATTATTCCACAAATTACTTCAGTATTGGAAACTAAGAGGTCATTGTAGAAGAGTATACTAGCAAATAAAATTACAAAAAGTTTTTAAAATGAGTTTTACATTTTTTTTGATAAACAAATTTGGTTTTTTATTTTATTTAAATGCATGACCCGACCGGGTCACCGAGTCACCGGGTCACCGGGTTTGGCCAAGTTTGTTCGGGTTTTGACTGGGTCAATACATGACCGGTCCAATGCTTGACCCGAACCAGTCTGATGATCGGGTCGTCGGGTTCCGGGTCGACCCGGATTTTACAACACTGGCATAACGTGTCTACATGCCCATGTGATGGTGAGTTGTGCAGTTTTGGTTATTGTTGGGAGTTATCCGTCAATTGTTCAAATGTGAAGCTGAGATCTATAAATAAAGTTGCCTTCTATGCTTCCAAGACAAAAAACTAAAAAAAAAAAAAAAGGCCTGTGATTGTAATAGAAGATACTTCTCCAAAAACATGGCTTCAAGACCTGGAATCCTTACTGATTGGCCATGGAAGCCTCTTGGAAGCTTTAAGGTTCCCTAACTTCCCTTTAGTTATCCTTAATCTCTCTCTCTCTCTCTCTCTCCCTCCAATAAATAGATGTTATTTCTGGTTCACTGACATTGGCATAGACAAGGACACACATTGAAGAATAACATGAACATCCTCTGTACTCTTGCTCTCACTGTTGCTTTAGAAAAGTAAAACTAGATCTTGAAAAAGTTTTTCTTACGTACTTAGAATAAAATAGTATAATGCAATAGTACCTTTGCATGTTTAATATATGCACTTCTTTGTTGTGTTGGTTATAGTTAATGAAGACGTTTATTGTGCAATTTTGCAGTATGTGATACTTGCTCCTTGGGTCATTCATAGCTCGTATTCTGTGTTGACGAAGGATAAGAATGAAAGGGACATATCCACCTTCCTCATATTCCCACTTATGCTATGGCGAATGCTTCACAACCAAATATGGATCACTCTCTCTCGTTACCGAACTGCCAAAGGCAATGCTAGAATTGTTGACAAGGGAATTGAATTTGATCAAGTTGATAGAGAAAGAGATTGGTTAGTTTATGCAACACTCACCAGTTACCATGCATAACCCAAATGCATTTACGACAAGAAATCCAACACCCCTCTCACCACTCAATTTTAAATGTTTTTTATTTAAGTTTATATATTAAGATTACTAACTATAAATTGAGAGGTATGAAATCTTATATATCTATTTGCATCATCATTTTTTTTTTCTTTAGGTTGAAATAAATTTTTTTTAAACTTTTTCATTGATTTATCAATTATTCAATTAATTCGATATGGAAAAAGATCCATTTACAATTTTTTTTTTATAAATTTTGCAAATTACATTATGTACTTCTAGAAGTAACCTAGTGTACTTTCGAGAGTACATAATATAAATTTTAAGAGTTTGTAAACAAAAAATTTGTAAATATAATCGTCCTGATTCAATAATATATAAATGACTAGTTTAAAAGTCTATTCTCATATATGGTTTCACTTACCATTATTCAACTTTCTAGAAAGAAAATTAACAACAAAATATTTCAGATATCTTTTGTCTTTTAGGTTGTTTTTTTTTTTTGGTAAAGATCTTTTAGGTTGTTTTATTCACTATTTATTTGGTTTTTGTTTTGATGATACAGGGATGACCAAATATTATTCAATGGGTTCTTATACTACTTGGCTAGCTATACCTTGGCTGGGGCGTCACATCTTCCAATATGGAGAACAGATGGAGTGATTATGACAATACTGCTTCACGCGGGACCAGTGGAATTTCTTTACTATTGGTTACATAGAGCACTTCATCATCACTTTCTGTACTCTCGTTACCATTCTCATCACCATTCTTCCATTGCTACCGAACCCATAACTTGTGAGTCCAATTAATTGCTTTTGGCAAAAAAATTGATATATTATTTTTTAAATAAAAAATTATGAATTTATGAAAGTTTTGTAAAGAATTATATATTTATTGCATAATAGCACGTCCAATTTGAGTGTCACCAATCACGCCTAATTTAGGCATCACTCAAGAGGCAATCACGCCTAATTTAGGCGTCACTCATCAGGTGTTGACATGTGTTACAAAAAATTAACAATTTAATCGTAAAACTTCTGAAGGCCATAAATTTTGACTTGGGTATCTGAATCAGGTAATTTTTTATGATTCCACATAACTTTTTGAGATCTAAGTAATAACACCTCATTTGGCATATTTTATCTCTCACAAACACAATTTGAATTTGCAATAACGAGACTTTATCTTAGAAGTCGTGGTCTGAAATTAATGACGACAATTTATACCGATATGAAAATAAGAACTCTTACCTTCATTATTATTCTATTTATATTTAATGATTCATACAAATTATATTACTTATCAATTTTACTGATTTTTTTACTATTTTTATTATGTTCTCTTATTTAATTTTTAATAATTTAACACACTGTTAGGATTTGGGAGTTTAATCAATATAATTTTTTTTGATAAATTATATTATCATATTGTTTGGGGCATGCTTTTGTCATATTACTTTTCTTTTTATTTTATATTAAACTACATATTCTCCCGCTGTTATAGAAATAAATAAGAAATATGTTGTAATTACTACCTTTTTTCTTATTACTTATTACTACTCAATCTTAACCGTTAATTTTCGTCAATCTAACGATTATAATTTATTTTGTCACACTTATTAATTAATTATTAATTTATTGGGTCACAATCTAACGATTATAATTAATTAATTAATTATAATATCCGTTAATCTACTTTGGTACCATCATTAATTTGAGATCACAACTTATAAGATAAAGTCTCATTGTTGCAAATTCAAATTATATTTGTGAGAGATAAAATATGTCAAATGAGGTGTCATTACGTAGATCTTGAAAAGTTATGTGGAATAAAAAAATTACCTGATTCGGATATCCGAGTAAAAAGTTATAGCCTTCAGAAGTTTTACAATTAAATTGTTAATTTTTTGTGACACGTGTCAACACATGATGAGTAACGTCTAAATTAGACGTGATTGTCTTTTGAGTGACGCCCATTAAGCGTGATTGGTAACGTCCAAATTAAATGTGATATTGTGTAATAAATATGTAATTATTTTTAAAACTGTCATAAATTCATAATTTTTTATTTAAAAACAAGAAATTAATTATTTTTTCCGCTTTTGCTTACAGAATTCATAGCAGGCTAACAACCTCTTTGTTTGCATTTGATGAATGTTGTTTACTGTCAAATCTCAATCCCTTTTGAATGTCAATATCTGTGCTTTCACGTACAGAAAGACAGACTGCATGCTTGTTGTCCGACGAACGAGATGTACGATTATAGATTGATGTGTATATAGAATCTAAATGCCCTCTTACATCTACTCATACAAAAGTTACTTTAGAGAATAATAAATAATGAGTAAATATTTTTTTTGGTCCTTAATAAAAAATACGGTCCTCATTTTATTTTTTTACAAAAATAAATTAGTTAGTCCTTAACAAATTCAAAGTGGACCCATTTTAATTCTTTTAAGAGACTAATATGGGTCTTTTTTGAATTTGTGAGGGACCACAATTTCAACTAAATGGGTCCACTTTGAATTTATTAGGGACTAACTGACTAATTTATTTTTGTAAGAGATTAAAGTGGGGACTAATTTATTTTTTGTTAGGGACCAAAAAAAATATTTACTGATAAATAATTGTTCACTATAATAACCGCATAACTAAAATAATGAGATATATGTACAATAACAATTAAGAGGGAGGGTTTATAAGATATATATCTAATTGTCTTAATGCTTTATTTATAAATAAATTATCTGGTAAAAATAGACTTCTGGAATTCAATTCTTAATCCATTATTATTGCATTAGAATTAGGGTTTTTGTTTTATCGTTTAATATAACACAACAAATTTTTCTACACTCATAATATTTTGTGGGCCCACACTTTTTAAAATAAAAAAATAAATAAAAAATTAAGGCACGCAAAACGAATCTCTATAATATTAGACAATCATTTTTCCTACAACATAACTCTTATAACACCCTTAGAATTAATATCTTTTGATAATCTTTTATTTATTTTCCTCCAAGTATTTGACTTATTGAACCTTCTAGAGTAACACTTGTCATTGTGGAGTACCCCTGATAGATTTGACTTCACTAAAAAACAGATTTCAAATTATTTAGGTTCTGTTTATAATTAGACACATTTATGTGGTATTTGGTTTGGAGCTTTTCAAGAGATATCTATGTTTTTCAAGTATGGCTTTTAGAAACACTATGTTTGTTTCAACATATTTTCACCAAAAACCCATCTATGCAATTTGTATGGATTTATGAGAAACATAGATATCCACATTGTTTAGAAACCCAATTTGAAGGTGGGATTTTTTGAAAAACCGGTTATCTCACTTTTAATGCACTGTTGATTTCATAAAGTTACCTAATTTTTCCAGTAAAGTTTTTCCCCACCAAACAACTTTTCTTTACATTTTTCTACCTATCTCACTTTATCTCACTTTCCAATCATTTCTCTATTTATTACATTTCTCTGTTATTCCAAAAAAATTTCCTCAACCAAACGTCCCCTCAATTATACATAAAAAATCTCACCTACCTTGTATTTTTTTAATTCTGATAATGATATAAAAAAACTTTATTATTATTATTATTATTACTATTATTAATTTTTTTAATATATTAACTAAATATTTTTAAATTATATGTGTCAATTATATTAGGAATTATCTTAGAATCTATTACAGTTCTTACGGTTAAAAACCAATTAATAGGTGCAACTTAACAATAAAGAATAGGGGGTGGACTATTATTTTCAAATGCATAGAAAAGTCATGGTGAGATTTCAAGACTCCCGAATGTTTGGTAGCAAATATGAGAAAATTTTCTCACTATTATCATTTACCTAGGAGTCCATTTTTAGTATAAAATGAGAACAAAAATACAACCCAAAAAGACCACTAAGGCAGTGGTATTCCAATTTCGCTGGGATATGAAAAACTAAGGTTGGAAACTTTGACAAAAGTAACCCGCTTGAGTATATCTTGGACTATTCAGTATGCTTCCTATTCAAATCAAAAAATAAAAACGTTAACAGAGGGTTAGTTTGATAATTTTATCATATTTTCCCATCAATATTTTAACTTCAACCAAACATAGACCCAGAAATTTAGCCCAATTTTTCTTGTAATTTTTTGGCCTACCAAACAACTTTTGTTATATTTTTCTACTAAATTCACTTTCCAACTATTTTCCTATCAATTATATTTTCTTAATATTCAAAAAAATTCTCTTCAACCAAACGCTCTTATAGGTATTTGGTTATCGACTCGATTGAATGTCATACTCTACTGTAACATTAAATGACAAAAATTTAATGTTAAACATAATTATGAGAAGATAAAGCATTGCATGACAATTATTATTTTGCTAAAGCAACGCTTAAGTCACATGGGCCAGCTGTAATGTTGATTGGCATTTCCTAATCATAAGCAAGCACATAAATTTTGAGCATTAATTTGCTTTCTTATCTAATAACTATATTTTCTTGGTGCAGCTGTCATCCATCCATTTGCTGAGCACATATCATATTTCCTTCTCTTTGCAATACCCATGTTAACCCAAGTCCTCTCAAATACAGCCTCTGTGGTGTCAATGGCTGGATATGTCACTTTCATTGATTTTATGAATAATATGGGTCACTGCAACTTTGAGCTCCTTCCAAAGTGGCTTTTTAACATCTTCCCCCCTCTCAAGTATCTCATGTACACTCCATCGTATGTATTTCCAATGCCTTGTACTTATACCTGCATACATTATATAGATAGATAAAACTATATAATATATTCAACTTTACTTTCTTATTTTAACTCCTTATATATTCAACTTTACTTTCTTATTTTAACTCCTTTAATTACTTCTCAAAGTAATATTCTATTTTTGATATTGAGCATATTGTCATCATAAAATCATGTCTTTAATTTTTTCTGTTCATTTGCTATGATATTAAATGAAAAAAAAAAAAAAACATACTTTTCCGATGTACCAAAAAAATAAAAAGGTTATACACATATTCTCTCTATATTTTTATGAGTACTACGGTTACTTGTTTTATTGCTGAACGTTTTACAATTTACTTAAATATTTTTTTAATTTAGATATACCATACCATACAGTTCCCGACAATTGCAGCTTATGCTTCTTAATGAAATGCTATTGTTAGTAAAATTATCTTCATTTGTTATTATTTTAGTATACACCAACTAACAAAATAAACATGTTTTCTACTATTTCACAGGTTTCACTCTTTGCACCATACCCAGTTTAGGACAAACTACTCACTATTTATGCCATTTTATGACTACATCTATGGTACCATGGACAAGGATTCAGATCAATTACATGAGTCAGCACTAAAACGTGAGGAAGAGACCCCAGATGTGGTGCACCTAACGCATCTCACTACGCCTGAATCAATCTATCATCTAAGGCTTGGATTTGCTCACCTGGCTTCTAAACCTTACATGTCAAAGTGGTACCTTAGATTGATGTGGCCTGTGACAGCGTGGTCCATGATGCTCACATGGGTCTATGGTCGTACATTCATTGTGGAGAGGAACCGTTTTGACAAACTCAAATTGCAAATTTGGGCAATACCCAAGTACAGTGTTCAAGTAAATATTAATATTTTCATAATTCTCTATAATTATACAATTATTCATTTTGCATATTTCATACACATTAGTTGATAACTATTTATCATTTAATTCTATTGGAATTTTTTATTGGAGAATATCTTTATAAAAGCCTAGTAAATTTTGCGTGATGTTAACATGTCTACATAAGTACTAGGCTTAATCGATGATAATCCCACATTATTTATTTCGAATAATTATTGAAGGGATTACTTTTTTCAGTGAACATTTTAAATTATTTCATTTAATCTGTTGTTTATTATCTAGCAATGTGTAAAATAAGAATTCATATAATTTTGATATTTACTTTAGTCAATGAAATTTTTTGTAGTATTATCTGGAATGGCAAAAGGGGCCTATCAACAGAATGATTGAGGATGCAATATTGGATGCTGACAGGAAAGGCATAAAAGTGCTAAGCCTAGGTCTCATGAATCAAGGTGAAGAGCTTAACATGTATGGAGGGTTATATGTTAGTAAGAATCCAAACCTAAAGGTTAAGGTTGTAGATGGTAGTAGCCTTGCAGTTGCTGTTGTTCTTAACAGCATTCCAAAAGGAACAACTCAAGTATTACTTAAGGGCAAACTCACCAAGGTTGCTTATGCTATTGCCTTCACATTGTGCAAACAAGGCTTTCAGGTCAGCTTCCTTGTATAGATTTAGCTTTTACTAGATATTCATGGAAGAAGACTTATTTTAAAATCTTATCTATCTTAATTTTGATCACATGATTAACTGTATTTCAGGTCGCCACAATGCATGAGGATGATCTTGTGAAGCTCAAAAAGTCCTTTAATAGATCTGAAAGTAATTTGATCATTGCTAAAAGTTACACTCAGACGGTATTGCAAAATACTTCTACTTTCATTTTGATAACTTACTCCAAAGTTTTACGTAAAATACTAAAAAAAAAAAATTCCGGTACACAAATTTCCCGATTTGCAAGGATAAGGGTGAAGGTCGATTCTATACGGCTCTATCCTCTACATTTTATTGTGTGAAAAAATAATTTCTAAATTTTCATTCTCATTTTTATACAATCAGCTTTATCAATAATTACATACAAGATTTTCTTTCTTAATTCATTTTTGTTTTCTGGATAGACATGGTTAGTGGGAGATGGATTGACAGAAGAGGAACAACTGAAGGCACCCAAGGGAACATTATTTATTCCATACTCACAATTCCCACCAAAGAAATACCGCAAGGATTGCTCCTACCATTGCACCCCAGCAATGCTAACTCCCAGTTTTATTGAAAATGTTCATTCTTGTGAGGTTTGTTCATATCATCTTTTCACTTGCTAAGTTGTGTTGATTCAATCACCCTTTTGAAGTTGTACCAGGAAGATTTAATAAGTATAGTTAGCACCCCAAATGATAAAACTTTAAACATCATTCATACATTGCAGGATTGGTTGCCAAGGAGGGTTATGAGTGCATGGCGCATAGCTGGGATAGTACACTCTTTGGAAGGATGGATTGAACATGAGTGTGGATACACAATGCAGAACATAGACAAAGTTTGGCATTCAGCTCTTCAACATGGGTTCCAACCTGTGCCAGTCAAAGAATTAGCTCATTATTAATGATCAGTGGGGAAATTAAACAATGTGTTTGGCTTCCTTGTTGTAGCTCTGAGGACTGTATTAATCCTGGTTATGGTTACCATTTACTAAAATAATACTGTTAAATAATGCACTAAGACAAGCAAGTGATGGTGATGCTCTATCTATCTATCTATATAGAACTTTTAACATGTTTATATATGTTAATTGTCTTTTACATTATGCAATTAATTATTTATCCTAAAAAATCGTGAGACATGTATAAGCCATCAAAGTTTTACTTTACATAGAACTATATTAAACTGCATGTGGGACACAACAAAAATTTTGGAAGGGTATTTAAAGTTATATCTCAAACAACATTCTTAAACCTTAGCAAGAAAACATAAACTTCAGAATTTTGCTGACATTCCCCGTAGGCCTAATGCGATAGTGTTAAAATTTTCTTATAAACTTAGACGTGTTATAAAACTAATAGAGAAAATATAGAAAGTATAAATAAGATGAAAGCATGAACTCTTAAGAAAGTAGGAGAATATTACCAATTCTTATTATATATATTTTTTATATAGAATACATGATCATATAAGACTCAAAGAATGAATATGGAGACTAATTACACATCAATGCAACATTACGCATGATGGTTTTAATTCAGATCAAAAGCCAGAGGCACGAAAAATGTCATAATCTAAACCTCGTGAAATTCCAATTGTCATCGATTTGTAAAATTCATGTTTTCCAACACTTCCCCTTGGATGATTATATACTATGAATATGCCTGATTAAAACCTTGCTCATATGACATAAACTAATCTTGTATACAAAGGTGTTCAAAAGTTTCAGTCAGCAACGACTTTGTGAAAAAATTTACAAGACATTTATTTGAGAGAACTTGATGCACATCTATCTCACCATCCTTTTGAAGATCATGTGTTGAAAAGAACTTTGATGAAACGTGCGTAGTTCTATTTCCTTTTATGTATCCTTCCCTTATCTCAACAATACATGCAACATTATCTTCACATAGTGATGTTTGTTTTCCCTTGATCATTTAAAGACTACATGCTTCTTGTATATGTTGAATCAAAGACCTTAGCCATATACATCCTTAAACAACTTCATATAGTATAAATTCTGCATTGTGGAAAGATATTGACATGAAGGTTGATTTTTTTGATCACAAGGAATTTGTTGGCGTGCATTTTTGGGTTTAATAAATACATAATATTTGCATACCAAATTAATTAACACAAACTTTCAATCCATTTGAGAGAATAATCTCACATAATGTATTTCGCGTGTGATGTTTTGGATTTTGTGAGCAATGCCTACACGAAAAGCAAAATCAAATATCTTTTACATCCATAGGAGGAAGAGCTGATAGGATCCTAGACTTGATACACAGTGATGTATTTGAGTTCACACTTGTAGCATTACAGGAAAAATCAAGGTATTATGTTTCTTTTAGTAATGATTTTTTCAAGTTTTGCGTGGATATATTTCTTGCACACCAAGGATGAGGTGTTTGATAAATTTCACGAGTTCAAGGCATTGGTGGAAAATTAGATTAACATAAAAATCAAAATGCTGATAACTGAAAATGAAGGAGAGTTTTGTTTAGAAAAATTCAATCAATTCTGTGCAAACAATGGGATTACAAGGAAAAACACCACACCCTATATAACACTCCGTCAGCCGCCAGTGTAAAAACCTGCACCGTTAAATTAGTAATTTAAATAATTTAATTATGAAATTAGGAAATAATTTTATAATTGACCTTGGATAAATATAGAAAGATTAGAATAATCATCGAGAAGGTCAAATAACGCTTAACTCTCTTTTTGATGAAAAGCATGAATACTGATTCTCCTTCACGGTATAAATGTGTACTGGCGAAGTATTCCAAAAAATTATAATAAAAATACAAATATTCCTATAAAAATATCCAGGTCAAGGATATCATGTTTGGAGTAAAGATAATGAGCGGTGATGTCCGAACTAATACCGACTATATACAAAATGAGTTCCAATAAAGTATTTCGAAAAATTATAACAAAAATATGATAATTCCTAGAAAAATATCTAAGATCAGAATATTAAGTTTGGTGGAAAAACAATTAGCGGAGCTATTAGAATCAACACTATTGATTAGTGGGCACTCCGGTATAAATAGAGTGACACATTAACCTAGGTCAGAATTCTACACACTCCTACGTGATATTCAACTGCTGCCATTGTGCCTCCACCTTCTCACTATAACACCTCGTATTTCTAAAGAATATATTTATATATTAAATATGGATTAAAGGGTAGGATTAGTTAAAATTTTGAAATTAGGGTTAAAATACAAAGAAAGGGTAAAACGGTAATTAGCCGAACATGTAACCCTAGGAAAGTGAAATTGAGTAGTGTAAGAACCCACACCGTTAAATTAGGAATTTAACTAATTTAATTATGAGCTAAGAGATAAATTCCATAATTGACCTTGAATAATTATGAGTGAGCTTAAATAATTATAGTAAGTGATTAATAATGTTGAAAGTCGCTTTTCGGATGAAAAGTGCAGATACCGGTTCTGCTTCACAGTATAAATGCGTATCGATGAAATATCCCGAAAAATAATAAAAAGTTTGTATATATTACTAGAATAACATCTAGGACTAGTATGTCAAGTTTGCAGTCAAAATAATGAGAACTGGTGTCGGAACTAATACCGACAGCGAGAAAATGCATACCGAAAAAGTGTTGCGAAAAAATAAAATAAAAATATGAAAATTCCTAGAAAAGTATCTAGGTTAAGAATCTAAAATTTTAGAGTTAAAAGAAGAGCGGAACTAATTAAACTAATATTGCTAGTTTAACTTAAGTGACAATATAAATAGAAAAGCGGATCAAAACCCTAAGTTTTTTAAAAGACTCAGCCGCTGATTGTGGCAGCCATTTGGGGGTTTTCTTGGAGACTTAGCTTTCTCTCTTGGAAAGTCTTCAAAGTGTTCATTTTTCTACTCCTCCCCTCCATTAAAACATCACCTAACCATTAAAGCTCTAGTCTTGTTGAAGAAAAACCCATTGTTGAAGGATTTGTGTGCTTTCTCAACCTCTAAAGCTTTCATTTTTTCTGTTCTCAAAAGGAACCAAGGTAAACTTAACTATCCCTTAGTAAATCCATAAATTTTGTTATAATTCTTGTTCTATGTTACTGTTGATTCAGAATTCATGTTAATTAAAAAAATGATTCGTATTACTGTGCGCTACCGTCTTTCTTGCTATTTGTTTTGTCACTTTGTATGTACTGGTTTATCGATTCTCGTGATTTTAAAATGAAAATTCTGCACTAGCAATTCGGTCAGTGTTACTTAATAGAGATGAAGGCACTTTGTGCATTCAAGTCGGTCAAAGTTGTTTTATATATATATATATATATATATATATATAATACATACATATATGTATTTATATATATATATATATATATATTTATATATAATATACATATATTATTGTGGCTATTTATATAAATATTTATAAGATAATTATCATCTAAAATTAAATAAGTTAAATGGTACGTCTTAGAAAGGATCTGCAGGTTCGAAATGAAGAAGAAAATAATATCTGATTGCCTTGGAATTTTAGAATATGTATATTGATACTATGATGGTCATTGAACCAGATTTGTGAATGAATTGGATTCTATTTGTGGTGTGGACCCTTGTGATACCGAGTTCGAGTCAGAGGGGCATACTGGTACATGTAAGCTTATTGTCCTCGGATTGTTTCTCTGTTTGTTCCACCAACCTCCATGGGAGGGTGGTTTATGTGCATGGTATGCTCTGGTGAAATGATATATATATATATACACACACTAATATTTTCTTGAGATATGTAGATATGTCTGTTGATGTAATGTATGGATGTGATGTTAGTACTTGTACGATCAGGCAGCAACCCTAGTGTGCAAGGCATGAGGCAGCATCCCTCATGTTTGGTAGGTAGCATACGTGCACATCCCTATCTTGTTCCCTGGCTAGTCGAACCACATATGCATACATCACATACATGAGATATTATTATTGTTGTTGAGTTATTGTTGTTGAGATATTATTGTGGAATATGGAGTATTGTTGATTGAATGAATTGTTATAATATGCCCATGCATTTTATCTGTTTTGAATTTATTATATACCTGTAAGTGAGCTTGGGGCGGAAAATTCTTGGAGGACCCCTTGTCTTACTGAGGTTTCTTTTTAGAAATCTCACCCTGTTTGGGACACATTTTCAGGTTCAGATAGTTATATGGAGGACCCTAGAGGCAAGAGGCCGAAGATATTTAGTTGATAGTATGCTTGCATGGAGATTTACTTTTTTTTTATATATATGTCTTATGCTGAGACTTGATGCTGTTACATTTTAATCAGACTTGGTTAATTATTTTTATGTGAGCAGGGGGATTGTCCCTGCCTCTTGAGTTAGTATTTTCTGTTGAGACTTGAGTTATGTAATAATGTATCAGTACATTGTCTTGGCTACTTGATGTAGTACTATGAATTGGTATTTTTATATTACTTGAGGTTATATAGTACATGAGCTGGCATTACATACAGGTTTAGTACTAAAGTTTCTTGTTAGCACATTGAGGTTTAATATTGAGATAATTGCAAAGGATATATTCATAATTGAATTAGTAAGCTTCTGCATTATGTTTTAATTAATTAAGCAAGGTTTAAATTACCATATGTATGTTATTACACCGAGTGCACATGGGGTGTTACATTTTATGGTATCAGAGCACTTTCTAGGGATAAGCCTGTATGTAATGTTATAACCTCAAGTTTTCTTGTTTGTCTGTGATGTCTCATGAGTTGTCTTTTGGGTTTTGCTGTGATAATAAAAGTGTGACCACATTGTGTGGGCCTGATCAACTCATCCTCTGTGTGTTACATGTACAGAGTTATGGCTCCCAGAAGAACTCGGGAGGCATCGGAGGGTCAGCCGGATCCTATAATTGCTGTAATGGCTGAAATGCAAGCGAACACGCGTGCATATAT